AGGGAACATTGAAATCATAATTATACATAAAAATATGGGTAACACTTTATTTGAAGGGGGTTGAATAAGACTGACATGACACTGTCATAAACATGACATAACACATGTCATGAACATCAATAAGTCTTCATGAATATTTATGACTCTTGTCAAAAAGCGTCATTCGGTAAATTATGACACTTTTAATACAAAGTTGACATTCAAAATGTCTTTGTTATGACAACTTGACATTAACCAAGAAATCATTACTGTTTAAACTTTACCTTTAATAACATAAAGTTACCTAATTTTTAAAGTGCAATCAGTAATACTTTTATAACAAATTTATATCAGTAATGATTTCTTGTTTAATGTAAAGTTGTCATAACAAAGACATTTTGAATAATGTCAACTTTGTATTAAAAGTGTCATTATTTACCGAATGACGCTTTATGACAACAGTCATAAATATTCATGAAGGCTCATTCATGTTCATGACAGGTGTTTATGACAGTGTCATGTCAGTCTTATTCACCCCTCTTCAAATAAAGTGTTAACCGACATTTCTAACTATGGCTACTGGAAGTATCAGCCTTTCAACAGAACAAAACCTATTGAATTTAAAGGTAAATCTGTTATTGTAGTTTGCTTCAGTTCAAGACCGAATTGCAAATTTTCTCATAAAGGAGTGTGTCTCCTGGAGTATTTCTGCTTGTACGAGGAATGTTCTTCCTGTGGTGTCCCTTTGGTCTAAAGATGGGACAGGTTGCACTCTTGGTTACTTGTCTCTGTGTGTCAGTTCTGAGTTTCACAGCTCATCCAGGGTGTGTGTCAGCTGTCAGACTATGACAACATCCCTCCAGTCCTTTGTGATTCCTCATGCCACAAGGTGATATGGTTGGAAACCAAGAACATATTCTGAGTACCTCCAAAAAGAAATATTCCCTTCGGTTAGCCTGGGTAAAAGAATAAAAATGTTTGACTTCTGACTGTGTTCTTGCCAAAATTAATAGACTTTTTTTTGTTTACTCATCATTAGGAAGGATTTTCATCTCTAGAGAAGAGCTTGGAGGAAAAAGGGGAGGAAAGGCCTCAATGTACTGACCTACCCAGGGGGCATAGTGAGTGCCCTGTAGAATTACATAAAAACTGATGATTTATTTACAAATAATCACATGACAAGATTAATTTCTTTCTTTGCTCCAAAACCAAGGAGACACACTGTATCCTCTGAACACTGTTAATGAATGACTGGGCTGCCGTATATGTACAGGATTATAGTTAAATATACACAGACAGATGGAAGAATCCATAAGACTGGTGACATAGTGAAAGATAAACTGGTGAAAACCCATCCCTGGTATGCTTTGCTTCATATAGAGGGTTTGGATCTTTGGCTTTTGAAAAACAATTGCTTGTTGGAGGTTGTGAACTCTGTTGAAATCTTACTTTTTACCCAGTTGCTAATGTTTGTCTGTGACAAATGTAATGCTGCAGCTTACCAAAACTTTGTGTGCTGCCAGACACAGCACTGGCAGTTTCACAATTTGATTACCCAACCTAACACAAACCCTCAAAGCAATCCCCATCAAACTCTTTCTGGTTCTGATGATGCAGTTTGAAGCATCTATGAGAAACCCACTAAACTCACGGTTTTAATTTTACAGTGGCTGTTAATGGAATCGGTGCCCGCTCCTTGTAAAAATATCTCTCACACCTGTAGCTGGTTTTCATGTACAAAAAATTAAGGGCAATATTATGTATTTCCCATGTACAGGTTACTATTTTATAGATAAAGTAACTATGTCATTTTCAGTTATAAATATATTCTACATATATCAAACATGACTTAAAAAAAAATTTAATTAGGAATTTGACAGGTTAGATTTGGGCCTCTGTCTCTTTAAGAAGCTCCTGCTCTTTCTGACACTCCACCTTCTGTACATCATCACAACAGCACTCCTCCATTATGCCATTTTTAACCGTTCTTTGTAGCGTTGGACTGAGAAGCAGTTTCTATGATAAGTTCAGCAGATGTGCAGTTCCACCAGGTGGCTGCTGCCGCTAGTCTGAAGGAGCCGAGAGGGGTTGGGGTGCTCTATGAGGCAGAAGCTCAGCTGGAGACTACAGCTACATGGAGGACCTTTGTGGAATTAGGCTCCGCTTTTTTAGAGCAAGCGTTTAGACTTCTCTGAATGGCTCCCACAGGCAATTAAAGGATTTCTTAAACAGGCATGATTTTGATGAGGGAATAACATTGAAGCTCAAAAAAGTAGATTTTTACATAATATACTCCTTTAAATCCAAATCCATAGCTATTCTTCTGGGTGCCCAACTATTTTTGACAGTGATTCTAAAAAAAACACTCACAAAGCATCCCGAGATATCTTTGAAATGCAGAAAATAGCCCTATTTTTAGCAGGTACTTGAAAAGCATAACTCTTCAGATCTGAGTGCAGCACATGAAATCTTAAAGGTGAGCATGTTTCTGGATATCATGCTCACCTCTAAATATCTGTAAATTGTCTAGTGAGTAAAACCAGAACTCCTGGTGTGGAGGAGATGTAAAGCCTCTGACCCATGAAATAATGTTCTCTCTGTTTTATTATCATTATGTTGTAGTGATGAATGCTAAGCACACTGATTTAACCGTGGTGTCATAGATTTGACAACCAGAGGGAGCAGACCAAGGTCGGCCATGATGGTTGCGATGGTAATGAGACCGACTAAAACTTCATGTTTATGAAGGAGGCAGATGATGACGTGTGTGTTTGTGTGTGTGTGTTTCCACAGTAGTAGGGGAAATGTGAAGATAAAGGGGACAATGGCGATGGAGGAGAATATGAATCCCATGTATGTGCCTGTTTCAGAAAGTGACGCCACGCAGCCAGCCATCTGTCCGCAGATTAATCCTGGCTGTGCTTAGAGATATTACCGGCTGGCTTATCACCGTGGCAACAAGCCTTCAATCCTAGTCGAGCGGAGCCACCATGTGACCTCGCATGAGAGGGGTGGATGGGGTTTGGACACTCGCAGTTTTCGAAATGGGAAACACCTACATGCCGTGTGTTTTGTGAATGCACTCACATCGTAGCAGCTGTGTGTGAACTGTGTGTTCCTAAAAACAGGAGGTCACAAAAAGCACACGACTGCACACACAGATACGGTTCCTGTCCTCCCATCAGTGGCACGATGGAAAGGTTTTAATCCCGCTGAAACGTTTCAGAGTCACCTACTGAGTTCAGAAATGTCATTACGCCAACCAGCTGTGCTGCACACATCTCTCTGCAAGTACTGCTTTCTGTCTGCTATATTTAGACCTGTATTAATACAAGCTGATGTCACCTGACTCTGTTTCCTTTTACACCACTGGATCTTTTCATTCTTTTTTTTTTTTTTTTTTTACTTTTTTTAATCACATCACTCCTACACACTCGCATTCTCTTCATAATTGTTAGCATTGTGCCGGAATTACCGCAATCTCAAACATACACTGGTATAAAAATAATGCATACACTGCCAGCTTAGCTCACTGAATTCCTTAAATCAATTTTATTTTACTGCAGCTGCATAACCTCACATTGAAAATTAAGAAAAACGCAATCTTTGACTTGAGTAGCTACACTTCTTTAGTAATTGTTTCCAACAGAATTACAACTGGAATCAGTACTTTGCTAGGACAGAAATATTATATGAAGTCTAAGACAGCCCTTGGAAGAATGCTCATCCTAGAGAACTATTCCTTGGCTCATTTGAGTTTGTGTTTCCTGCCAAAAAGATGAAATGGTGACACATTTTCACCAAGGGTGTTTTCACACCTCGTAGTCCGGTAGACTCGGTTCAATTGCAACATTTTTGTTACATTTTCAGCTGCTGTGGTTCGCATTCAAACGGCACTGAGACAAACGACCCAAGTTCACGATTGTAGCACCCTTATTTCTTACTCGGTTTCTATAAATATAGCTTAAATTAAAGCGTCACCCATTCAAATTGCCTTCAAACCGCATCAGAGTTCACTTCAACCGGACCGAGACCTAAGTTTTCAGGCGGGTCAGAGTTCGTGTTTTCAGTCCGCATTAGAATTCAAATTTCCATTCACAATCCCCAAACACGTCAAACTTTCTAGAAAAACGAATTAGATTAAAGTAGAATAAACAGCCCTGTTGTGAATGCACCCTAAAAGTCCATCTAATTTTCCGTCTAAATTTTCACAGATTTCAAGGAGTCCCTGATGTCATGCAGGGACTCAAGGCAAAACCCATGCAATATTCTTACCACTTAAACTATTTAAATTTTGCTGCTGCAAGAAAACATGCATTTATTTTAATCCTTTTGGAGCATTTTTACAGAGAGTACTGATAAAACTGGTTGCCACTTAAAGGTCATAAATAAGTAGACACAAGTTCACCTCAGGCTTGAAATAACATTCAAGGTTTTATTCAGGCTTTCCATACAGTACACCAGTCAGAAATATACAGTGGACCTTTAAGAAAGGTCCGTTGCTTACATTATCTAATCTGCAGTCATGAACGTTAAATCTTTTTAATGAAGGTCACGAAGCGTGAGCGTGTTTGAGTGTGCAGTACATCGTTTGTGTGTTCAGTCCAAGTTTTACATCCAAGCAGATGTCGCAGATAAATGTAATTTCCAAGGGTTGAAATCTATCTCTTCTTTCACATATCCTAAATATTCATCTGTCAGGATGCCAAATATTGGCAACATTTCACTTTGCTCCCCAGCTCTGCTCACATGTAACCATTCAGGCCTTCATCCCGCCGATATTCACAGTGTGACACAAAGGTACCGTGCTCCGGGGTTTGTGATGTCATGGTCAAAAAAGGTGAGATTTGACCTGAGGAATATTTAGGATCAGTGTCTCAAAAAGTCTAACCATTTGATTTTACAGAGGGTAAAAGCTGGATGGTGAGATCTGGGCAATGATTTAAAGTGCGCTCTCACAGCCTCTGCAGTTAGTGTAAAAAGACAAAGTAATCACAATTCATATCATGGCAGATTAGCCCAGAGGGTGGATTCCTGAATGCTGAAAGGGTTACAGTTGAGCCTGTGAGCATCAGTATGCAGCGCCTTGCAAATATATTCATATCCAGGTAACGTATTTAACCATTCGACCTGTTGAACTTTTGACAATTATGTGCTAAAAAGTAGCACATACAAGTTAAGTGGAAGGAAAATGATTGGTGGTTTCTTAAAATTTCTTAATCACAACTAAAAATGTAAAAATTGTGGCATGAAGATTTACAAAAGGGAACAAGTGATTGAACTTAAATCTGTTGCATTAATTAGTCACAAGTAGCCAAATTGAATTTATCTAAGTTGATTATTAATGCAGTTACAGTAAATATGACAAACTTCATTCAATTACTTGTAGCAAATTATCACATTTTTCTAAGCTGGAGCTCCATTCTAGTTTTTCAGTGCAGATGGAAGAATCCTGTTGACGGATGATTATTGATTTTGCACATTTATCAAGTAGAGAAAAAACACAATTGAAAGAGAGCCATAAGAAAGCAGCAAACATGGAAGAAGACTGTCTGACCACAGGAGACACTCTGAAGACACCATCCACACACTGAAACATGGTAGTGGCAGCATCATGGTGTGGTTGGTGGGGGGAAACAAGAAGACTTACTGGACTGTGAAAGACTTGAGTCTGGGGTGGAGATTCACCTTCTAGCAAGAAAAGTGACCTCAACTCTGCAATGGGACGCTTCAGATCACAGCATTATTGTGTTTAAGCTGAAACAGATTTTTCAGATTTTTCTTTGCAAAAACCTGTTCAAAACATATTCTACTCCTTCCACTTAACAAATATGCACTACTTTTGTCAGTCTATTACATAAAATCCCAGTAAAATGTGGTTTAACATAATAAAATGTGAAAAAGTTCACAAGGTAAGGCTAGTTGTGCAAGGCGCTGCATGTCAGGGCTGTAGAGGGGAGGTGGGAGCTTTTTGTTTGACAATATGATGAAATATAAAGCTCAATGTTTGTATAAAGAAGCTTTTTAAATGACCTTTTTTTCCCCATTAATCAAAGCACATAATAAAGCTTTTCACGTTAAACAAGATATCTAATTTCCCATTTAAATACGAAGAACTTTTCAATGTCCAAGCACAAATGATTGTGATTAATCTTGACTCACATTGTGCTCTTTCAAAATAATGTGGCGAGTCAAGTTTGATTTAAATTTTTTTAATATGGCTTTTTAGTTTGGAATGAATAAGAAGCCCTTTGACGTTTAATGACGGGCGTTTTTTTAAAACTTGCTGGGAGCCCTTAGGATTGGCTACATAATGTGATTACTAAGTTAATCTAAGGTCCTCCTGGCGGCAGCTTAAAGAGTAACGTAGAGGGAGCAGTACAATCCGTGTTAATGAATGAGACAGCTCATTATGCCGCATTCCTGAGGATTCAAATGGTTTGCTACTGTGCTGCAGTATAAATTAACCGAAGAGATGGATGTAAATTACATTACCTGCTGCAGGCTATAATGCAATAAGCCCACTGGTTAGTAACAGTCAAAATGAAAAAGTCTGATTGCTCTGTGTTTTTTTTGTTTTTTAAGGAGGCTTCCATTGCTACATGACCTGTATATTTGGGCAGTACTTAGCTGGACTGAAGGAAATGTGTCTCAGTGGGTCCAAGATCAAAAAAGCACCAGTGAGCAAAAGCTCAGGCTAGAGGACAGTTTACATGTGTGGGCTTAGTGCAAGATATCGTGAGAAGTGGAAACAGCATTTTGACAGATTAATACTGTTTTCTTTCCTGAGTCTGCTGTCTGTGAACAGTACTCTAACAATTTGTCCTTAAGGTACTTCACTGAGGATTTATTCTTTAACTAAAACTCTACAAACTGTAGGTAAAAATGCAGATTGTGCTCAAAGCGAAACCTTGGAATGTTCTAGTGTCTGACATCTACCAGTGCCAGCCATTTACCTTTACACTGACTATATATTGGTATGTACCCTGTGTTTTTACAGTAAGTCATTTCAGCAACTGGTTTATGAATATAGAACATTTTCTACTACTCTTTTAAAGTTATATATATATATATATATTTATGTGCAAATTCCACAAAGTAGAACATTAACTGTATGAATAAGTTATCTATGTTTTGTGGGAAAGATAGCTTTAACATCACTGTTTTGGTATATTCTGCCTGACTCTGCGATCTGAACAATCGGATGTTTAAAGTACAGCTCAGAGTCAGTTCGTCCCCTCACCAGTTTGCACCGACATGTTGCCATTTCATACCCATAACAGGTGTTTATATTTCTTTATACTGAAGTACTTAAAAAATTTAAAACAGTCATAAAATCCTTAAATCTCATATATAATTAAACTAATTTGTGTATTATTTTCAGAAAACTTTGTATTTGCATTTATTCTGATCACTGGTCACCCCAAATCAAACCAAAGTATTTCCTGCGTGACCTCCTGCAGGTAGATGATAGTCACTGGATTCATATAATCTCTTACTCATAAGACTATGAGTTTAATCTTAAAAATTAGATAGCAACACTTTGAACCTGGAAAAGTTGGGTACGAAATGAACAAAATAGAGAAGGGATCAAACGATCTGGAGCCTTAAAATATGCACTTGGCATGAAGACATAACAGCCTTGCTCCATAACTTGGACTATAAAAGTTTTTCCTTAAAGGTTCTGTAGAAGAAAACATAGAAACATGCTTACAATAGCCTTCACACATGCAGTCAAAAAAAGATCTTTGTAAATGAACTAAACTTTGCATATCACTTTGGCAAGGGAGAAAATAAAACATCTTTTTCTGCTATTATATTTCAACTCTCTACCCTTGATTTTACACAATTAAAAAAAAAATTGTTCATTTACATAGATAAAAAATATCTTTTTTTTTATATGCCACTGCACAAAAAGAGCAACAGACAACAAAATGAACCCACAAGTCAAAAAAGAGAAGCAAATGAGAATAAAAAGGTTGCATAATTGAATTCACATTGACAAATAGAAAAGCAGAGTGTTGAAGAGTAGTAGACTGTTGACGAGGAACTGCTTTTACAGTGAGAGTGACAAACTCCGCGGCTGTGTAACCACAGGAGGCTTGAGTCACTAATGAACGCTGGATAAACGTAAACCGAAGAAAAGCAGGACACATTTATGGCCCTCTGTCTCCTCACTTTAAGGATATGTTTGTGTTTCGGACCTGAATGAAACCAGACATAACCACAGAACCCAAGAGCACAAGTGAACTCTGTCTGCCAGCTCTTACATTCATACATATATATCTATATTTATGATTTTGTTTTTTTTCTCCCAGGAGAAGTGCATGTTGAGCATGTGCATGTGTGCCATTCAGTAAGAAAAAAAAAAGGACTCGGACTAGCTCTGACCTGGAGTCTGTGGAGATTAGATCAGGGTGGTACTGTGAAGACACTCTGCATATAGCTCAGGACATTGGCTCGGCTTTTAAGCTCGAGGTCACGACGTAGGCTTTCGTTAGAAGCACTGTAAGTAATAGGTAACCCAACCTCTATTATTAGACATTCCAGCATGTCATGTCAGAGAAATTGTCCTTTCCTATTGCACCCAGAGAGGATTGTACCAATGGCACTGAGCCCCATAAACATCCTCGGAGGAAACTAAATCTGGAGATAATCACCTGTAAGAATCCGGGAGATTATGACAGTGGTGAGGAATGGAGAATAGAGTCAATGGGGGGGGGGGATATCTGCAGCTGAATATTGGCAGAAACCAACTGTTGTCTTTCTGATACATGTAGGGCTACTTTGTTAGCAACATAAAGGAGTAGATCCTGAGAAGGATCTGTGTGCAGCCGCACAGATTTTAGCTTGAGCATAAAATATATACTTCAAATTTTGATTTCATATTTAAATGTGTGCTTTATATAAATTGTGCTCTGTTGCTTGATAAATGTAAAGCGGTGGTCCCGCTTTGAGTTTTGGCTAAAATGTTCAGAAAAACACTGTAATTTAGAGATGCTACAATTCAGGCTTTATGGGTCCTGATGCACACAACATCGAGTCTTTCATTTTCGTTCTGGTGCTTTTTATCCTGTTTGTACATAAATCCCACAGGCACTACTCTGCTGCAGTTTATGTGCATAATTTCAGGTAAATTTTTATTTACAACATTAATAATTCTCAGATTTATCCTTTCATGTCCATATTAATATATACTTATGGTGCAGCTAACTCTGCAAATTGGATTGAAGGGATAAGGGCAAATATCGGCACCCAACAGACTTTAGAACTGAATTAGTTGTTCTTGTTGACTCTGTGGCTTTTTGAGGGAAAAAATACTTCTAAAAATGATTTACAAAACTGTATATGTCTAAATAATAAAATGAATACAAGAGTTTAGTATTTTAGTGAAAAGAAATTAAGAACAGTTGACTTTTTAAAAATCATTTTAGAAACTTTTATGAGCAGTTAGCACCATTAGCCATAAGCTAAATGTCACAGTAGTATTTCTTTAATGTAATCGGGCAAATTTTTACATCTTTTTATATAAATGAAACATTTTTTTGACATAGAACTATCATAACATTTAGGAAATTGTTTTACTTAGTATAGCTTTAATTAAAATAAAAATAAAATCTGCAAAAAAAAAAGAAAAAAGAAAAAAGAAAAAAGATCTGCAGCAACACAAGATCATGGTGGTTTCACTTTGCAATCGCTTCCAGAATTATCGGCCATGACTACTTATTTCATATTTAAGTGTTCATTTTAACATTTTGTTTTAAGATTTAGCTGTTTGCATCTGATATCACTCACTTTCATTTCAACATGTTGACTTCTTTACCAATATATATTATATCAGAAAAAAATGATCTTACCCTGTCCCTGCTTGTAAAAAGTCTCTAACATGTGTTGAACATATTTAAATTGTATATTTTAACCCAGGCTGTGATATATCAAGTAACTAATGGAAAGCAAAATTAAAACGTGTCAGTATATACCTCAACTAGTTTGAAACCCAATATTTTTATTTTCATTATACACTTCTAGTATCTTACATTTCTAAAGCGTTTGTTGGACTTTAAACGCACCACCGTTTGAAGGAAGTAGGTCACATTACATGTTGAAATGTGAGGCTAAAGGGTATCCGCTGTGTTAAGATGGGATGCCGAAGCTCCGCGGGGAGAAGGTGATGACTTGAGCATTTGATTGACTCAGTCAGCGAAGGCTCGACCCTGAAGAGTGATAGAAGCACACCGTCCTGGCTGAAAACTTCTTTAGAATATAAAATGTAAGGTTCACTGAACTGTCTCTATATCTGGTTTCTTCAGCTCCCGCAGTGTTTGCTCTGCACTCTAAATTATGCATTTGCGCATATCTGTGAGGGCCCAGAAACACAATCATCATCCCAACAGGGGGTTCCCACAGTCTGCCACTCTTCCTCCTGTCTGCATTAAACAAGGTGCACCACTCTCTGTCATCTTTTTCCTTGTCTTTCATATCATTCCCTTAATTTTCTTTAACTCTGCATGCATGCTGAAATCCAGTCAGGGAAAAAAAAAAAAAAAGAAGCTAAATTAAATCCACTGAGACTGAAAAACATCACGGTCCCTTAGAGAGAAGCTACATAACTGTTACACAGCTTGATCATTCAAGAAACACTGCTTCATGTAAACATGCCTTTATCAAATGGCTCACAGGCCTTAAGTGCCCTGAAGGTGGGCAGCTGATTTTAAGGAAGAAAAACAAAAGTCAAGGCTATGTGTTGGAAAAATACAAGTGCTGTTGATCTGCACTCACTTCAGATTTAGTCTGAAGAGTAGCGAAAAAAAAAAAAGTAAAAATCAGCTGCACATCCTCTCAGCATTTAATAACAAAAATTGCCAACTTGTCCCGTCCCACCCCCCATACGATTCATGAATCAACCAGACCAGTGAGAAATGCTTCACATGGAAAAAAAAAATGAAAAGAGACAAACAGTTTGTACGTTTGAAATAAACTTCTCATCCAACCTGTCGCCAAAGATAAATAAATCTATTTGGATATGCTATGAATGAATAAATAATATAACCAGGTCGTACTCTAGGTAAGTGTTAGAGAATATCGAAGTATCTGGATGGCACCATTGTTTTTGAAAGCAAAAATGTAATCTTAAGTGTTGTGTTGTAAAAAAAAATAGTTTGAAGTTATAATAAGGTGATGAATTTCTCCTCCCCAATTAGTTCTCCTTCTCTCCTTTTTTTTCTTTTTTTTCTGCTAGCACACTGAAATGCTGGAGGGAGGATTGTATGGTTTGTGCTTTAGGAGAGACTCAAACTAACCATCCGTCTGTCCATTTGTTCACTCTTCAAAGTTTATGCAGCAGGAGAGCAGCAGGGGTTATTTCTGTCACTCGCGTCCCTCCCTGCCCCCTGTCTCTATAGCTGCCAGCTGAGAGAGAGGGAGAGAGGGAGGTGGAGAGGAGGTGAAGAAAAGAGTGTTTATGGTAGCTAGTCGCTGTGTTTGTGTTGAAATCATCTTTTGCCAAGAGACAAAGCATAAACATCGTCAGTCTTTCTCTCTCGGTTTGGCCTGTGTCGATGTTCCAGCAGAGGCGAGACATAATGTTCGGAGGCAGCTCTGTTTCTCCTGGCTTCAGTCTGGCTCTGACGGAGAGAGGATCGGAAAGGAAAAATGCTTCCTCTCTTCACTCCTCACTTTTGTATTATATGTTTCTCACACAGCTTGATGATCCCCCCCCCCTCCCCTCGAGCAGCTTTAGGGTTTGTCAAGACCCTGACAGTTCTTCCGTTCCTCTTTTAATGATGTTGCCGTTCCTCCTCCTCGTCCCGTCCCCTGTCCTGCCCCCCCTCCCCCTTCCCTCAATTCTTTCAAGGGAAGCTGATGAAGTCCAGATGAAAAGCACCATCAGATGCATCACACACCTCAGTCATTTTCCAATTTCCCAAGAGAACATCATCACCATCTTCTTTCAAACCCTTTTTTTCCCCTCATTCTTCTCTCTCTGGCCCCATGAGGGTTGGATTTTTCTCATTACAGAGGATAGAAGGTAATTAGTTATAAAAGACAGACATATAAAATGGTAGGAATATCTTCTCATGAAACCATTGTGTTAATTAAGTCCATTCTGTGGAGAAAAACCTTTTGTCCTGGTTTGGACTATCATGTTCTTAGTCCTCTGCCTCCTTCTCTTGACTTTCAAAGCTGCAGAGCCAGACTTTTGGTCATTTTACATTCTGTTTTCTTCCACCATCACAGAAAACTGATTGCCTTGCTTGACACCAAATGTGTTATCTATTTTTCCTCTTGATCAACCATCCCACCTCCCACCCCCCTCTTGTTTTCCTTTTATTTTCAATGTTTTTGTCAGACATAGGCGGATTCGCTGGACTGAGTACGTCCCAGGTTGGGCGGCTGGGACAGATGCGCCATGTCCTTCTTCCGGATCTCGCAGATCGACTTCCTGCGGGCCTGGACTCCCCTGATGGCGGCCTTGATCTTGCGCCAGCCCAGGTGGTTGAGCTCGGCCAGGTTGAGCACCACGCAGATACCGCTCACAGCAAACATGAAGACCAGGAACACCGTCTTTTCCGTGGGCCGGGACACGTAGCACTCCACCTCCTTGAGGCAGGGGTAGCGGTCGCACTCGAAAATCCCAGGCACGCTGAAGCCATAAAGGAAGTACTGGCCTGCCAGGAAGCCGATTTCCAGTGCATTTCGAAACACGACTTGAATGATGTAAAAGCGTGAGATTCCTTCCTGTCGCCGAACTTTGGAGCTCTTGCCGTGGGTGAGACCCCGAGGAGCGTTGGGGATCTCTTTCACCTCCAAGCAGTCGGGTTCCTCCTTCCCTCCCCCTCCATCGCCACCATGCTGGACTAGAATACCATTGATGTTGCGCAGCTTTCGCGCCCCGTCCCGTCCACCGTAGTCCTTCTCCATTATGGGATAGAGGAAAGAGTAACGCCGGTCTCTTTGCTTGGCTGACTGGTGGACGGAGTAGGTGATGAAGCACAGGCTGGGAGTGCATACCAGTATGATCTGAAAGACCCAGTAGCGGATGTGGGAGATTGGGAAGGCTTTGTCATAGCAGGCTTGGTTGCAGCCTGGCTGCAGCGTGTTACATATGAACATAGTCTGTTCATCCTCGTACACCGTCTCTCCAACAATGGCCACAATCAGGATACGGAAGATCACCACAACCGTCAGCAAGATCCTACAGAGAAACACACACAGAGGAAGTTGTTGCAGTCAGATACATTTACTTCATTGGGAAGAAAATTTTTTCTGCAGAGGATCTACACTTGGAGTCTGCAACCTGAAGGTCCGGAGCTGCAAGTGGCACATTGGACCTTTTACAGCAACTCTTCAAAACTTTGGCTAAAATCGGCTAATGATTTTAAATGCACATATATCTATATATGTCTATACATCTATAATATATCTATACAAATGTGGGTGGTTTTAGAAGATTTTCAGTGTTTTAACACAACAAAACAACAAAAGTACCAGTAATACTTGTTTATTTATTTTTTTTGCTTTGGAAATGTTTTGTTTTTCTTACCATAATTTTCCGTATATATTATTATCAAATATTTATTTCCCATAATTTTCTACAATTTTTATGCAATTTTTATACTAAAAAATAAAAATGGAATGGTTTGACACAGTAATGTGATATTTATTGCTGTCTTTGAGATAAACTGCTTCTGAAATTTAACTCAAATTTCAGATTTCTACTATTAATTATTAGTAGATATGGGTATTACTATTCATTTGAATAAATAGTGACATGCATTAATTGTCCTTCAGGGTGTGTGAGTGTGAAGTTGTTTTGTGTCAACGAGTCTTTTACTTCATAAAGGCAATTCAGTAAGGCTGCAGAAGGGCAGATGCATTCAAATTAAAGACAAACTACATTTTGTTGTCATCAGCATAATAATTAAATGACATGCTTTACTTCCTGAACATCGACCTCAAATGCTGACGATGCAATAGTACCTAAGACCAACCCCTGGGATACATCAGGACAGGTAGGACCTGAAGAAGATGTAGTCTACTTTAGACTTTTAGACTACTGCACACATTCTTTTCCAGCATATCCCAAAGAGTCTCAGTAGAGTTAAAGTCTGGACTCTTTGGTGGCCAATTCATGTGTGAAAATTGTGTCTTATGCTCCTCGAGGCACGCACAATTTGAGCCAGATGAATTCTGCCATTAATTTTTGGGAATATGCCCCTTCAGTGAAGAAGAAATTCCTTGACTGAGTACCCTGGTCATTCAGTGTCTTCAGGTGGTCAGCTGACCTCATTCTTTGGGCACACAGTGTTGCTTAACCTATCCTGACCAAATGCATGCCCAGATCATAGCACTGCACTCACAGGCTCCATAAGCACAAGGCATGATGGCAGCATCACTTCCTGTGCTCAGGATCAAGACTTGTTAAATCTGTGTGTTCTCTGGCCAAATGAATCCTTTTTTCAGAGAATTGTTTCCTAAGGCTGCACAGCTGTTTAGTCACACAGTTCCTTATTGTAACTCTTTTGGGATTTTTATTTTGCAATGTGAGATTAATTTCTTTTTCATCCACATTTCTACTGCAAAGATAAAAGTTCCCCATTATCCTTCCAGCTTTTATTAACGTCTTGAATCATTCCTTTTATGTTTTCTTTGCTTGATACAGTACATGCCCATAAATTGACCCTTCTGGAACAGACCATCTTTTCAATGATCACAGCATGTGTCTTTGACATGGTTGTTTAGAAAATGACAGCCTATTCACGGCAGCAGTTAGGGCTAAATAACTTGTTGAAAAATAATCACGCCTTCAGCAGAGATCTTTTAAAGTATTTTAACTGCATGCCAGTTTGGTAGCTTATTGTGTAACATGGTCAGACCTGTTAAGTGTGTTATCATCCCCCATTTAATGTATATACTTTTTTCCATAATGCCATAGACATACAAAAAAAAATTTAGTTTGTTCCATCTCTTATCTAAGAAATCAAGGTAAAAACCACAAAACAACAAAAACCTCCTAGTCCAAAACCCATAAAATATACATTCATACATGATGACAAGCAGCTATAAGCAGAGCATTGTACACTGCAACATTTTCTTAACAGGAATAATATTTTATTTTTCAAATGGACCTTTAATTAAAACTTGTAAGCAGTTCATAGTTTATCTCAAGTAATTCTGTTAACGTCTTAGCATAAATCCAGGTCAGCTTGCTCTTAGGGTGAACTTAGCCTTCAGTTCAACAGGTGCCAAGACCAAAAGGAGACTAATCAAATCCAAACTCAAAATGTTATTTATGCTAATGATAAATAACATTAGCATAAATAACAACATTAGCATTATTTATTTACATTATTTATGCTAATGTGTGAACCTTAACTCATTGCATGGGCAGGAGATGATGATTATTTACACAAGAAATGTAGGTTGGAGGCAATGCGGCACCTATAATCAAACACTTAGCGTTGCTCTTGGAATCTGTTTCTTTCTTATTAACCTTCTTAAACATTAAAGATTTGTTGTATCAACTTTCCCGACCACTCAGATCTTCTGGTTCTTGTCTGCTCTGCATCCACAGAGCCAGAACCTAACATGGAGAAGCAGCATTCAATTTTTATACTCAACTAATCTGAAACATTGAACATTCAGTCTAAACACTGAATTCCTTTAAATCAAGGATAAAAACCTATTTGAAAGTTGGCTTTTATTCATAATAACTGGAACATTGATCAATAAATTTGATGTGTATTTTATGATGATTTTTTTCTTGATGATTTTGAGTTTTTATTTTACGAAATGTATGATTTTATGCTGGTTTCAAGGTGACAGTTTTATGTTTTTATAGCGTAAAGCAATTTGAACTTTGAATACAAATAAACTTGACTTCATAAAAAAATTATTTGCATAGATCTGATAACAAACACCAGAATAAAATGCAAAGACATGGTGAGAATACCTAAAGCTATCTATAGGTAGAGGCCTACCTGTAGATTTACTGTAAAATCTCCCGTAAAAACAAAAATATTCACAAAGCAAACACAGGAAAACAAGGAGCATGAACCGTACACTCTGTATATGGAAGTGAAGGAGAAATCCTTGAAAAAGACGAAACAAATAAAACCCAAACTAATTAGATTGAGGGTCATTGTGTGACTCTGAACCTACTTTTCCTGATAGGAATCAGCAGAGCTTCGAATCTCATTTATCAGTCTGAGAAAACACTCCAAATGAAGGACAGTTACCAGTATTTCAGCTTGTGTCATCCGTCCTCATAACTCTGTTATCTGACAAAGGAAGAGTGTTTACAGGTAACAAGGAATGATGGCGTATCTGTTTTTCTAATTTTAGGGTTTTGAGCAACATTTAGCCCAGTTGGCATAGCAACCACAGTTTGGATTCATTAAAGTTGGAGCTTTAATTGACTCCAAAGACACACCGCATGCATAAATACAGCACCACTTGTTGGCTGTTAGTTTTGCTGTGAAGAGGCTCTGCCTGCAGTCCCATGGCAACAAGTGAGTTTGAGGCGACTTGTTTGCAGATTAATTACTATTTCTATTGAGGAAGACAAAAAGATTATTGATGCCAAAATGGTTCACTTCAGTTCAGCCTGTGTGCGTGTGTGCATTTTGAGTCTACCGGAGCATAACCTGACATGTTCTGACTTGATGCATCTGCACATTTATGCTGCCATAATGTTAGTAGATGGGATAGTTTTATCTTCCTTCTTTACTCTGTTACCTTTCCGGCAGACAACTTTCTCTTTGTTCTTTCCTTACTTTATTCATTTCTCATTCATTTTTCAAGTCTTATGCCGAGACAACACTTCAGATAGCAGGCTTTTAGCAGTCCAATGAGCTTTCTGACTGTCTAACAATGTGACCAAGAATAGTGCGAGACTGCACACTGTACAACGACTCACATTTAGTTTTAAACTTCTTGTTGGCGGGTATCTTTTAGCTGAGTCTTAAAGAAATTTGAAAGATTCTCTTTAACTAATCCCCACAATTAACATAAATGTATAGTTTGATCAGTCATTAAAACCGATTAACTTGAGCTGGCATTTTTACAATGACACATAAACCGTGAGCTCACCTGCCACTCTATTAGGTACAGCAGTCGTTATCTCAAATAGCTAATTAGTCAATCACATAACAGCTTTGAAGTGAGTTAAAAACATTTAGACTTGAAAACGCCTTGAAATCCAAAAGATTTACTAGGACTGGCCGATGGATCGATAATAATATATATCTTAACAGACATGTGATCAATATCAACAGATAATACAGTAGATAGAATGTTCAATAAGTTCCCTGAACTCCAATCAAAACCTGCAAAGCATTCTGGGGGATGTAGGCAGAGGAAAGGCTTTCAGCCACTCAGTTTCTCAAGGCCAGCTAAGCAAGGTTGGTGGCATCAATTAACTCACTCTTTGGTCACTTAGCAACAAGTAGCAAGTAGCTTGCTTAAGCGGCAGTTTCAAGCTTTGCTGACGTTCCTCTTAACTGCTTAAAAGTAAAAATCAAAGGAGTGAAAGCTGTGGATAACACAGGAAAGGCAACACCACACGTTTTGGTGGTATTTAAGATATTTAAAAAAAATAATGAATCAATAATGACTGATATTTATCAGTTGATAATCTTATGATACATTTTTCAGTTTTATCTACCAGAACTTAGGACTTACAGTATATGACTGAAAACTGAATGCTTATAGCTGCCAGGTGGGTTGGTCCTAGTATGTCACAAACTGCTGATCTATTGGGATTTCCATCCACAATGTTCACTCAGTGTTTTTTTTTTTTTTTTTTTTTTTTTTTAAACCCTAAAATT